TTGCTTACAAAGAAAATGAGTTTCCCAAAGGTAATTTGCCTTAAATTAATTCTACTGTTTTTATATCCATATAAGACAACATACTTTCTATCTAATGATATTTCTCCCTCCCACTGTTAAAGTGTCACTCAGTTACCTATGCTCTACATCCTATTTTGAGCCATGCATCATTAGATTTTTTCTTGTTAGTTAATTTATTGGAGTATAGTTACATGCTATATACTATGCATATTTAAAGTGTACAATATGCTGAATTAAAGAACTCTTACAAAATTGAGTACATATCGAATGGGTCTATTTACACATAATTCAAGGAAGCATGTGAAAACTTTAATTGCATTGTTATAAAATTGTGAAAAATAGAATCTCCCTGATCCTCAGTTTCCTTGTTTCTGATGGCAGTATGAAATAATAAGCTTAATTCAGATGAATGTGGTGATAAATAAATGAAATCTGCGGAACTACTTTGTTGAGTCCAAGACCCTTTCATGGATTTGTAGTGTGTTTATGTAAATGTGTTTTTAAATATACTTATTTAATAAATAAATGCAATCATGTACATAAACAGACTCAATAATCCCATCTTTTATGTTGAAAAGAAATTTGAGAGAAAGTTGGAGAGAATAAAAACAAAAATAATGGTAAATTGAATTAACATAGAATTTTAAAAACATAAAAACGTAGACAAAAATTTTAATGTAGAATGGTTGTCCTTAATTTTAATATTGAATTATTTTTCCACCTTAATGTTTAAAGACCTCGAAGTCAGAACCGTATTTTCTTTTATTCAATGGGGAATTCTCTGTACCAGCTAATGGGGCAGAGTTTCCAATTTGACTTTAGATTTTTTTTCTTCTAGTTAGTGGGGGTTTCAACGCAAAATGTCCTTACTCAAGGGAAGCAAAATGAGAGTATCAAGACCCTTAAAGTCAGTTTCCTCCCCCAAAAATCATTGTATAAATATCTGTATAACATTGCTATTGCTGCTGTAACAAAACATCAAACTAGAGTTTAAAAGAAAAAAATTTATTTGCCTGTAGTTCTGGAGGTCTGAAGCCTGATGTGACTATGGGCTGAAATCAAGTTGTCTGCAAGACTGGTTCCTTCTGGAGGCTCCAAGAAAGAATCCATTTCCTCTCCTATTCCAGTTTCTTGTGGCCACAAGCATTTTTCGGCTCATGGCCCTTTCTCCACCTTCAAAGCTACTGGTGTAGCATCTTCCAATCTCTGATTCCAACTATTCTTCCTTCCTCTTCCACATTCTAAGACCATAGTGATTACATTAGTCCCACCTGCATAATCATCATTAATCTTATCATAAAGGCAGCTGATTAGCCAAACTGTTCCATCTGCTACCTTAATCCTGCCTTGTAATGAAAAATAACATCTTACAAGTTTCTGGGGATTACAATGAGGATATCTTTTGGAGGCACTTATATGCCTATTATAATTTTTTTCCAGTAAAATATTATATGATGTCACCCAAGGGCCTTTATATAAAAGAATCAAAATAGGCATTTTTAGAAGTATATTATATAATGTCATTCATGAATCCTTATATAAAATAACTGAACGATGAATTTATAATGGCCTCTGGAATGAGTGAATACACCATTTGTTCAAAATTACATGCAAACACATTTTTTCATTCAGCAGACCAAAGACTACCTTACCTGACTCTAACACAGAACCACAGCCTTGCTACTCAAAGAGTGGTCCTCAGACCAGGATCTGCAGCATTAACATCACCTGGGAGATTGTTTAATTCTCAGAATCAATAGGACCAACAGGATCTGCATTTGAAGTAGAATCCTGGGTGACTCATATGCACAGTGAAGTTGGAAAAGTGCTGATCTGGACTAGGTTTTCTCACCTTCAGGTGTTGACAATTGGGGAAGAATAATTACTTGTGTTGCATGTTATAGGTGTTCATTAGTCTCCCTAGATGTTGCCAAATAGCCCAGAAGCAACATCATCTCAGGTTGGAAACCAGTGGCCCAGAGTTTGAAAACTGAAAGCGTCCTGACAGATTCCAATCAAGGCCCATCTCTCACTCAGTTTGTAACGTGGGGCAGACACTAAATTCCTTCAAGCTCCATTTCTACATAAGGGAATAGAGTTAATAATAATACTACATCATAGAATTATCCTTAAAAAAAATTAAATCAGACAAAGTCTATAAGGTGCTAAACTCAGATTATATGGCATAAAAATATTGAAATGTATCTCTCATAATTAACAAGTATCTTATAATGAGGCACTAAATTACAGCTCTTAGTTTGTAATATAAGTACAAAATTCCTATTTATTCTGACAGATGTGTCATGAAGCCTAAGAGTGTGGTGTCCAGAATTGCATATCAAAGGAACACAGGAGCACTTCCCTTGTTGAAGAGGGAGTAGCAATTCTCTGGAGACATCAGAACTGTGTCCCATCACAAATTAACGATTTAAGGATAAAGGGACCTGGTTTTAAATGGTTCCATAGTCTCAGATGTTGGAAAAAACATGAAGTCAGGGTTGGGATAAGGTGGTGAGAGGTTAGACCTCTGCAGAGGAGGGAGATCAAGGACATGGAGAAATAAACACTAGATTTTCTTCATTTTTAACTTGGTCTCTTGAGGTCAGAGAATCATTAGGAAAATTTTTCTTTCTGTTTGTTCCAGAAGCCCAGAGGGAAATCATATGCTTAGAGGCTGGAATAACAGAAGGGAGATGTGCCTGAAGAACAGATAGAGAAAGAACAATAATACTTCTTCTGTGCAGTCCTTCAGCTAGTACAGCGTTGGTGGACAGGACACAGTTGTTGCTACTGACTCCTAATTTGGCTCAGAGCTGGTGCTTCACTCCCTCCTGCTGTCTTGTCTGTGGACAGAGCTTCAGTCTCCATCGTCAACTATCCAGGTAGGAATTCAGACTTCCATACTGAGTCCTCCCTCTCAGAGACCCCATCCAGGTGAGTCTGAGAGCCTGGAAAGTTTGTCAGGAAAAGATCAGAGTGAATGAATTTGAGAATTTTTACCTGATTCATAGTGATCCTAATCAGTCCAGCCTAGAGACAAGAGATCATGGTGTCTGTTTTCTTGGTTAAGTAACTAATTTGTAATTAATTTATTTAATACATTAGTAAAATGTGTCTGTTTGAATCTGCGCTACAAGGACCATAGTTGACAATTAAGTGATGGACATAGATGTACAGTTGGTGACTCTGTAGAGTGGGTGAGTTGCATAAAATGGTTGCAGTAAAATAAAAACACATCTGAGAGTTTCACTGGACAGGGAGTAGGAAATGAGAGGATCAGGTGTGGAGGACGGTGAAGTAAAGTGAGAGTGTTTGTATTAAATTTCTAAGATGAGCTGTATTTGAGCATGTCTTGTATTCATTGAAAAGATACAGACGAGTGGAGGTAGAAACTACCTTGTGACAGCCATTCGTGAGACATACATTGCAGTATCTTCTCTCCTGCTGGCTTTTCACATGGAAAATAATTAATAAGTCCAAAGAGGAATATTAATAAGTTTTACTCTTAATTATTTTGTTACTGGCATAACTGCACACATTTGGGGGCTTCGTACCCTTTTACTTTCTCTGTTGAAATAGTTAGTAGGAATTTCTATCCCACACTCAGCATTTTCCCCCAGTGGTCATGGTCTTCTGTATTTTTAATGAGAAACTCAGTCATGTACTTGGGGAATGTAAGTTGAGGATATTACATTTCAGTGATGGAGAAATTAAAGTCACCTATTGGAACTTAAATCTTAATGCCACAAAGTCATCATAGTCTGACCATGTTTACATTTATGCAAGGAGGACTTCATCGGAACAGCGAATGGGGTGGATCTCCAACTCGATTTAAAAAATTTTTTCTACCGCATGAGTGTTTTCAACATCAAATGCCCTTATGCCAAGGGAAGCTAAATACCTATTCCTTCAAAACTACATGCAAAGATAATATTTAATTCAGAAAACCTAAACTACCTTACTTTAACACAGGATCTCAGACTTGCTACTTAGAGAGTAGTCTTCAGACCAGGACCTGCAGCATCAGCGCCACTTGGGAGCTTGTTTGTAATGCAGAGTCTCTGGGCCCTGCAGGACCTGCTGAATCAATATCTGCATTTGAATTAGAATCCAGGGTGACTCAAATGCACACTGAAGTTGGAGAAGTTCTGGTCTATACGGGATGTTCTCACCTTTTAATATTAATATTTGGGGCAGAGAAAAAATTTGGAGGGAGATGTTTCCTGTGGATTGTAAGGATTTAGCAGTATCCCTTCAGACATTGCCAGATACCACAGGGGCAAAGTCATTTCTGGGTGAGAACCTCTGCCTAGAAGCAACCTGTAAATATTATAATCAAGACCCAACAGATACTCTGCTATTAACTTTGTGCACATCACTAACCCTTCTGCTCCACCCAGGGCCTTTGCACTGGCTATTCCTTCTGTGGGGTACACAGTTGCCCACATATCTTGGCATATCCCTCCCTTTCTTGAGGCCTCTATTCAAATGTCACTTTGTTTGCAGGTTTTGCTAAGTACACTTGAAAAACACAATGTCCTCATCACTTTCTCCTTTAGACGTGCTTTCTTTTTCTTCACACCACCTGTGACCATCCAGAATGTAATATATTTTTATTATTTTCTCCTACATTCTTTCCTCATCATTGACTTGTAGGAACTTCTGTTCTTCAGCACTCAAAATACATAGCCAAGACAGTGCCTGAAACCTGGTCAGAAAACAGTTACTATTCCTGAAATACATGAAGAATTTCTCATTAACACAGTAGGATACATGAATCTCTAGGGGAAAGAAGCAGAATAGGCCAAAAATTCCTAATCTTAGATGGTGGAGAAAACCTTAAGAGGGTACCAGATCCGTATGAAAATATTGAAATTAATTTCTTGACTGAAAAATATGAATTCTAGCATTACAGCTATGTGAGTAATGTCACTTTGTATAAAAATTACTATTATTATTTTCTTGGAAGTCCCCTCCACCGTATGGAACAAAAGAATCTTACAAGAGTTTCAGAATTTCTTCTTCTGGGACTATCAGAGGAACCAGAACTGCAGCTCCTCATATTTGGGCTCTTCCTCGCCATGTACCTGATCACTGTGTTTGGAAATTTGCTCATCATCCTGGCCGTCAGCTCAGACTCCCACCTCCACACGCCCATGTACTTCTTCCTCTCCAACCTGTCCTTGGTGGACATCTGTTTCACCTCCACCACCATCCCAAAGATGCTGCTGAACATCCATACACAGAGCAAAGTTATCACTTATGAAGGCTGCATCACCCAGATGTATTTTTTCCTACTCTTTGCAGTGTCGGATGTCTTCCTCCTGACCATAATGGCCTATGACCGCTATGTGGCCATCTGTCACCCCCTGAACTACACAGTCATCATGAACCCACGGCTCTGTAGGCTCCTAGTTCTGGTGTCCTGGATTGTGAGTGCGCTGAATTCGTTTTTAGAAAGCTTAATGGTTTTGAGACTGTCCTTCTGTGTAGACTTGGAAATTCCCCACTTTTTCTGTGAACTCATTCAGATGGTCCAGCTTGCCTGTTCTGACACCTTTCTTAATGACATGCTAACGTATTTTGTAACTGTTCTACTGGATGCTGGTCCCCTGGCTGGTATCCTTTACTCTTACTCTAAGATCATTTCCTGCATACGTGGAATGTCATCAGTTCAGGGGAAGTATAAAGCATTTTCTACCTGTGTGTCTCACCTTTCAGTTGTCTTCTTATTTTATTGCACAAGCCTAGGAGTGTACCTCAGCTCTGCTGCTACTCACAGCTCACACTCAACTGCAGCAGCTTCAGTGATGTACACCGTCATCACACCCATGCTGAACCCGTTCATCTACAGTCTGAGGAATAAAGACATAAAAGGGGCTCTGAAAAGATTCTTTGGGGTGGCAGCTATAACAGGGACAGTAGTCCTGAGGCTGGAAAAGTGCCCTTGATTCTTGGCTTCAAACTTCACAACCATAAATGTGATCTTTTAATCAGATTTGAGTGTAGAACTTGCTCCTTTTATTTATGTTCTGGAATTTCCATTTGTTTGAGTTTAACTTCTCTATATAATTTAAGTAAGCATTTTATTAAGGTTTCTGCTCTGTTTTCCCCTCTGTCCTTTTCTCTACCTTCACAATTTTTTTTCCAGCCTTGATCAGGAATATTTGAAAATACTACTTCATTGCCTGGGCAATATGGATTTCTAAAGAATAATTACTTCTCCAATGGCATACATTATTGTAAGTAATTTGTTCTTGTTTTACAGATAGTCATATTACTCATGTAGCAAAAAAAGTACTCTTGGCTACTAAGCCCATTCATATAATTTCATTCCAGGTGTCGGAAGCCAGCCGACCAAGTCAAACCGGGTACCTGAACGGGGGAGCGGGGACTGAGAAAAAAGAGAAGACAGACAGGGTGCAGGAGGGAGAGCAGATCTCACAACTGTCTCTCCGAGTTTATTTCTTATGCTTCTTTTTATACATAATCAGTTCCTTTGTGTATCTCAAAATAACATAATAAAAGTAACATCCTGAAGATCGAGGTACAATTGACACTTCCTTTGACACTCCCTTCGACATTCCCTTCAACACTCCCTTTGGCTATACTTAATCTTCTTCTTCCTGGAATTCCACAGAACCAGCCTTTTCTTTTTTATGCAAGCAGGCCTCCCGAGATAATCCATGCACTCTTTTGAATTTGGGGAGCTTTAGCTCCCTACATCCAGGAAAATCTGAAACCACAGTTTTGACTTCATGTCCCTCATTCTGTCTACATCAGTACCTCAACCACTCTTCCTGATAATGTAGACGTCATCAATATTCCCTTTAAGTCTCAGCCTGTTGACAGTGATGCTATAGGTGAGGAGAGCCTGGGGCACTGACCTAAGCACCTACTGCTTGTTACTCAGCCCAGACACAGGTTGCGGTTGGACTGGCCCTTTGGTCTTTATTATATTTGCAACAGCCACCAGGGAACTAAGAAAAGGTAACTTTATTACTCACAGGTCCTGGTGAAGCTAGAAAATTAATACCCTCAGAAAAAGATATTGAATACGAAATAAGTTTTTAAGTTAGTTTACACTAACAGCCACTAGCAGTAAGTCACTTGGCTCCCTGTTAACTATTACAGAAAGTACTCAGACCAGGACTGACCAGTCAGACTGCTGGAAGAACAAGTAACCAAGACAACGGAGATACTACTAATAGCATGCGAAGAGTAAGAGCATGAGACATATAGCTTCTGCTCCTGCACACCAGGATAACCTACTGACTCACATTGTTTAGATGTTTTTCAGCCCACAAAGCCAACAACCACCCTACCAAAATATCCCTAAAACCAGACAAGCCAATGCCAGGGGGGAAGCAGATGACTAGGAGATGAGAATTAACCGCTTATCTAATCAAGAACCAATCAGCAAGACCCACCATCCCAAACCCCCTACTCATGATTCTTCATGATCTTTGCTCTATGAAACTTGTCTATAAGCCATTAGGGAGTTCAGGCGTTTGAGCACCAGCTTTTCCATTCTCCTGGGTGGCATCATTTTTATTAAAATAGCCAATATTTATTTAATGTAAAGTTTGAGAGCAGTTCTCATTAACTTGCTGTGCACACAGCTGGGTGCGAACTCGCTTTTGGTTAGCTTGATTCCACTGGAGGATATACAACAAACCCAGGGCTACCCACGAAGGCTCGAGGAAGTTGGGTGGAGAGAGAGAGACAAAGAGGGAGAGAGAGAAGGGAAGAGAGAGGGAATAGACTGTGGGCTCTGCCTTTATTGGTGTTCAATGGCAGCATCATTACATCTTGTGGATTTACACTTTGTTGGCAAATTTCAAGTATGAGTGGAATTAGGGTGCAAGAAGTGAAAAGCAGGGTCACTCATGTGGTCCGTTATCTAGGTTACCCAGGGCTTTCAAAATGGGGACCTTCCTTGGTTGGGTGGCCTGGGTGCTTATCTAGTAGCTGTGTCATATGGTTGGTGATAAAGACTGACTGGAACTTTAAGCAAACATAATCAATCGGAAAGGTCTATGGGAGTAGTTAGGACTTACAGAAGTTCTTGCGCTCTGTGTAATGGCAAGAACCTTACACACAATAACCCTCTATGTTTACAATAAAGCTTTGTGGTTCTAACTTCCTTTTCCTTTCTATAAACACCCCTCCATCTTAGCACCCAGGCCAGAGCATGCAGGTGGTTTGCCATGACTGCATGCTCTGGATTGCAACCTTTCCTTTTTCCCAAAAAAAATCCTTTTGGTGACAAAACACCTAGTCGATAATATTTTTAGGTCGACATTTTGCGGGCTTGTCCAGGATTCCAGAGAAGAACAACCCCGATAGCTTCAGGACAGGTGAGCCACCAAGTGCAGGTGCCTCACATAGAGGCTTGCTCTCCAATCAGAAAGCTTAGGTTGAGTCTCCTGGAATCAAGCTTTGATTTTTGCATTTTGAAACTCTCTGGGCTTTATTTGGGAATTATTTAGAGGGTTCATTTGTGTGTGTGCGTGTGTTAAAAAGGCCTTGCTTGTTTGCTTGTCCCTCTGTTGTCTGTGAGTACTTGATTTGACATATTGACCTGATTTCTTCAGAAACAAGTTCCCCTTTGAGACAACACTGACTTTGGCCTAAGGATGCCTTTGGGTCAGAAGTTATGTCTACCGACCCAATTTCTACTAGAAATTAGTCAGTTTGGCCACGTGTTAGACTGTACCATCTTATTGACAGGAGCACCACCCAACTCAGCCCCTAACTAGGCTCCCCAAGTCGGTTATCTTCTTAGAACTGGCTCTTAGCCTTCAGCCTTATCCCCTGTGGTCAGACAGTTCTAGAGTATGGCTGGGTGGTGTCTGACATGCAAGTTGCTCAAGCTGTTGTAAAATGTCCTGGGCCCTTTGCTCTAGAGAAAAGTCTCTGAAAAAGAGATCTCAGCTATCTAAATATTTTAAGACCATCCCTCCACCACCAAGGACCACAGCTGAGTACGTGGTTAAAAGCCACAGGCAATTTTCATGTACATACTTAACTAAATGGGCAGTTCTGACCAAAGTGATTCAGAAAATCTGTGGCCACTCTGGGGAACTGTTGAGATTCCCAAACTTCATTTTCTTAAAACCAAATTTGATGATAATAGCGTTAAATTGGCAAAACTGAGTGGAATGCCTAATTTGAATGATATTTTGAGGCTTCCAAACGAGACCAAAAATCCAGTCCCACATTACGAAAGCTTTGTTAATTAGGAGGCACATGTTTACAGAATTTTGTGCCATATAATCTGAGCTTTACACCTGATAGCCTTTGTCAAATTTCAACTTTATAAAAGTCTATTCTATGAGGTGGTACTATTCTGAACTCCATTCCTCATTGCAAAAATGGGGCTTGAAGAATTTAGTGATCTGCCCGAAGTAATAATTAGAGTAAGGGATAAGTGCTGATTGGAATTCTGTCTGAACACTTCCAGTTTTCAAATGTTGGGCCAGTGGTTCCCATCCAGAGACGAGGTTGTCCCTGGGGTTATTTGGCAATGTCTGAAGGGAGGCTGTTAAACACCTGCAACACCCAACACAAATAATTATGTCGAATTGAGAAAGTTAGAAAACCTAGTCTAGACCAGCACTTCAACTATAATGTGCATATGAATCACCCAAGATTTTAGTTCAACTGCAAAATCTGATTCAGCTGGGACAGTTGGGCCCAGAAACTCCACATTTCTCCAGGAAGATGCTGATGCTCCAGGTCCTGATCTGAGGACACATTGTGAGTAGCAAAGCTGAGATTCTATGATAGTGTAAGGGGCAAGTAGTAGTAGGTCATCTTTACCCCAATTTGCATTTGCATAAAAGTTTGGGTTAAAAGTGTACAGTCTTGCACCACTTAACTATGGGGATAATTTCTAAGAAATATTTGGTTAGGTTAGGTGACATCATAGAGTGGACTCACAAAAAACTTACATAGCTAGCCTGCTACACACCTAGGCTATGGTACAGCCTATTGCCCTGTAGAGAAGAAAAAAAAATTCTTTTTATGCTTCTGGGTTCTTGGCTGATACATCCTTGTAGTAAAAGACAGACTAATAGGAGAAAAACAAACAGAAGTTTAATAATATGATTCTTCCTGTATACATGGGAGAGACCCAGGAAAACTGAGAAACTCCCTGAAATGGCCTAGCTGAAGCCAGAAGAAGGTGTTAGGAGAGGGGAGTCAGTTATGGGAGGTTATCAGGAAAAGCACAGTAAACAGGATAAAGATGTAAAGCAGATTTAAGTCACTGTCTTCTGCTTTGATAAGAGTTTCTACAGATAAGGTCACCCCCTCATCCTGGTACAGCCCCGGAGACACACTTACAAATGGATGTTTTCCTTACAAATGTAAATGTCCCTAAGGAAGGGTGCTTGTGCTTGGTTTTCGGAGCTTCCCTCCTGTCTCCACTTTCTTAAAATTAACCTTCCTAAAGTAATCGTATGCCAAAGAGACATATTTCCTGTTGACAAATTCTCATCTCCTATAGCTCCTAGCTACAAACCTGTTCAGCATGTTACTATATTGAATACTGTAAGTTAGTGTAACACAGTGGTGAGCGTGTAACACGTTGCACTGAGATGTTACCATGGCTATGATGTCACGAAGTGATAGGCATTTTTCATCAGCATTATAATCTTCGGGGACCACGGTATTGATGTAGATGTGAACAAACTAACTACAACTCTGTCCCGGATTTCATTTAATTTTTAAGTTTCCTGCTGTGACCTTCGACCAACTTCACTGTCCTTAGTAAGCACACCAAAGCTTTCTAGTTGATGATTACCCATGTTCTTTAAAAAATAGCCATAAATATTTTGTTAATAATAGCCAGAATGGCATAACAACCACAATACAATAAGTATCAAATTGGTGATAGTTTGGATTATAAACAATTATATATCACAAGACCACCAGGTGGTATGGC